TAAAAATGGATGTGAGCAAAATCTTGTCTTTCTATACTCATCCATCTAAGACTACCTTGTTGGTGAGTATTGTATGTATGTATCATGATGTACCTAACCCTATATTGACATTTACTGAAAGTAGGTTCTTTCTAGATTTCTGTTGTGGCTGGGCATGGTGGCGCACTCCTATAATCCCAGCACTCAGGAGACTGAGGCTGGAGGGTCGTTGCGAGTTCAAGACCAGCCTGGGCCACAAAGTGAGCTCCAGGCCAGCCAGAACTGCATAGCAAGACCCTGTCTGAGAAAGACAAAAAAAAAAAAAAAAAAAAAAGATTTCTGTTGTGACAGTATTATTGTAATGTCCCACTACAGCTTGGTAATGCTAGTAGAATACATACCTTTAAATTTTTAGAAGACATTACCAAATTAACCTTCAAGTGATTGTGTTAGTTAATTCCTCTGGAGTGTGTTTTTTCCCCAACTTTGTATTTGGGAAAATATTAAAGCTACAGAGACATCTAAGTAAAAGTAATAAATGTCCCAGTAGTCTCTCCTGGTCCACCAGTTATTGTATTGCTATGCAAGTTAGTTTGCTTAGACTGTCGTAATAAAATATCATAGCCTGGGTGGCTTAAACAGTAGACATTCTTTTCTCACAGTTCTGGAGAGTGGAAGCCTCGAAGGAAGGTGTGAGTTGGCAGGGCTGGTCTCTTGTAAGGCCTCTCTCCTTGGCTCACCGATGACCACTTCTCAGCGTGTCCTCACATGGTCTTTCCTCGGTACATTCATAATCTGTGTTCAGATCTCCTCCTTCGAACCAATCATAGTGGGTTGGGACCCACCCATGGCCTCACTGAACCTTTATCATCTCTTCAAAGGTCTCATCTTCAAATATAGTCATACTCTGAGGTAGTGGAGTGTTGTGGTCAGAGTTTGCAAGGAAAACAATAATTTATAGGATTATTTTATAATAGTCACCCAAACAGTCATACACAAAAGAGTGCCAGAAATCTGTCCACACAGAGACCGAAAGGATTCCACTGAGAGCCTGGATCCCACAGCAGTGTCCTGCATGAGTCCAGTTGAAGACTTAGAGCCCATGACAATGTCTTCCATGAGTCCAGGTGGAGGCCTAGAGCCCACGACAGTATCTCAGGCAAATCTGTTTCACAGGTCTGCGCTAGGAAAGCCCAAAAGTCAACAGTGGAAACTAGAAACTCAGTGCCAGCAGGATGAAGGATCTGTGCTAGAAGGCTGAGGGATCTGCACTGGATCCAGGAAGCAACGCTCACAGTAAGAACCAGAGCTCTCCTAAAAAGTACCACAGCCATCCTCAGCAACAGCAAGGTCTCAAGCTCCTCTGACAATGAGAACAGCCGAGTTCATATCAGGAAAGTCAGCGCGACACGCTTCTCCAGGAGACTGAGCAGTGCACCATCTTACCCTCCGGAGCCAGGAAGTAATGCTCAGAGTAAGGACCAGAGCTCCCCCAAAGTGAACTGCATCCATTCTCAGCTACAACAAGGTCCCGAGCTCCTCTGATGATGAGAACAGCTGAGTTCATATGAGGAAAGCCAGCACAACAAGCTCCTCCAGGAGAGCCAAAGGCTCCCAAGAGAACCAAGAGCTCCCTAATAACACCTCTTCTTCTCCAGTTCTCCCTTTTATGTTGTTGGCAGCAACCCTCAGGTGGGCCCTTCACACCCAGCACCACGCTGATTCAGTTCAGCTGGGGTTACAAGTTGCCCACCAGTTGTCAACCCACCACATGGAGGGTGGGACTTCAGCATATGAATTGGAAGGGGTGGGAAGACACACAGTTCAACCTGTAAACACTTGTTTCACTTCATACATATATATAAGATCAGATTTATATAGTGTATCAACAATAGGTTTACTATATATTTATAATTTATACTTACTATAATTGTACCATTTATATATATTTAATGTATATAACTATGTATAATACATAATTTCTCCCTAAACCACCAAGTTGCAACCATGCTGATACTTCAGCGTACGTCTCCTCGGAATGTGAACATGCTCCTTATTTATGTTTGACCTTCTTTTTTTGTACTGATGGAGACAGTCTGCTGAGACAGATGATCCAATGCACATGGAGTGGCTGTGGCCTTGGCTGGTGGCTTTTCCCCCATACCGTTTTGTCCTGAGTCCCCCAGCCCTTCACTCAGACTTGGTGTGCTTGCGGGAAGGAGCCTCCTACTTTTCCAAGCCATTCAGGCAGACAGAACCTCTTGGCCTTAACTCCAGATTCTCTGGCATTGTTGAGGCTTTGGATCTGTTCTGTGTCAAGGAGATGGCAGACCTCTTTGCAGTTCCACCTGCCTTTTGGTCTCACTGTATCAACATGACTAAATGAACTTGTTATTTCAGTTCTTTGTACAGGGAGTTCTTGCTTTCCCAGTTGGGGACTGCCTGTATTTACTCAGAGTAGGTATTATTGATTTGGGTGCTATTTTCTCTTTCTGTCACCCTTCTCCTCCTCTTGCAGCCTCTGACAGACGTTGGTTCTCGCCTGCAGCCACTTGTAACAAGGCATCTTCCGTGGGCTGGTGCTGGTGTCTGTTTCTCTCTCGGTACTTCTGTGTGGGAAAACATCGCACAAGCAGTACTTTCAGTGTTGGTTTTAGTAGGCAGAATCTTTGTAGAAACACTTGTTGAGCTCTTCAGTGGGGGATGTGAGGCCTTGAAGCTTTTCATTTCCTCTGGTTCAGACAGTTGTGCCACCCAGGCTGCAGGTGCGAATCTGAATCCTTTGCCAGGTGGAGCAGACTGTTGCTCAGTGGGCGCCCTGTTCCTGCGGACCCTTCTGAGCCTAAAGCACCGATACCCAGTACTGTGACCACAACCAGCATCTGTCCTCAGTTCCTGCAGCCCCCAGAAACCCATCTCTGCACAGTTAACAGAGCTGCTTTTTTAAAAATTAATTTTATTGGACACTTTAAATATACATAATGATGATATTCATCATAGGGAGTTTGTACCTGTGCATAATGTCTTGATCTTCCCCCGCATTCCCTTGCCCTCCTTTCAACCCCTTTCCCCCTGCTTATTTACAAAAGCTTTGTTTCCATTTTTCCCTTTTCCCTTTCTTCTCTTTCCCCTCTCTTCTCCCTTGTTCCCTTCTCTATTTGAACATTTTCTTCCTACTTCCCAGTATCTCTCATCCATTTTGGTCCTTGGGGTTCTCACAGAAGAGAAACAATGTGATATTTAAACGTGTGTGTGATTTATTTAGCCTAAAAGTATGTTCTCAAGGTAGCATCCATTTACCTAAAATGTCTCAAGTTTATCCTTCTTTATGGCAAACTAGTACTCCATTGTATATAAAAAACACATTTTCTCTATCCATTCATCTGTTGGTGGTCATCTAGGCTGTTTCCAAGATTTAGCTATTATAAACTGTGCTGCTATGAACACAGGTGTGTATGTATTACTGAGGTATAATGCTTTTAATTCTTCAGAAAGACACCAAGAAGGAGAATAGCTGGGTCAGATGAAACCTGTAGTTTTAGTTGGTTTTTTTTATGGTGGGTGGGTTTTTTTAGATAGGATCTCACTATGTAGTACAGGCTGGCCTTGAACTCACAGCAGTCCTCCTGCCTCAGCCTCCCATGTGCTGGCGTTACAGGTATGTGCTACCATGCACATCTGTAATTTCAAACCTGTGGTTATCTTCTGGGGTCTACGGTTTCATGGTAGTGTCCAATTCAGTGCGTATCTCCGCCGCCACTAGTAGACAAAGGAGGCAGACAGAGCCCAGATCCGTGCTGGAGGATCCCAGCAAGGCTGCAGTAGGAATAGGAAAGGATGTCAATTCTGGTGCTTCCACCTCCACAGAAGTCCAGGCTGATCCTGGCTCTGGTTGTGGAGTTAGGGCCTGAGTTGTTCAATCTACAACACTCTGGGTGTCTCTTGCTGGCCTGACTTTGGCTTCTGACCCTGGATGTCTCCCACAGGTGTCCCTCACCCAGTCACTGGGAGCCCTGAGGTGAGGCCAACTTGTGGCTGCTGCCTGTCCCAGGTTCAGTTGGCCCCTCTGTAAAGTAGCACTGGGCCATGCTCCTTCAGATCCTCTCTCCTTTCCTTCCCCAAGTTGTTACATTCCAGTGTCTGGATTCCAGATCTTAGAGAGGTTGATTTGTTGCTGTCTTTAATTCTAGCATGTCTTTGAGTCTGCTTAGAACTTCCCCAGGTCCTCCTTTTCCACACGAGTCATTCCAGGACCCTTGGCCCAGCACTGTCATGTGGCACTCTTTCGTGTGGTCCCTTCTTGATTTGTTACCCTCTTACTTGTGGTTTCCTTAGCAAGTTCCCTTGCTGTGTGCTGTATTGAGACCAAATCACACCAAGCACACAGTCATGCTTTGCCCTTGAGCCTATGAACTCATGGTGTTGGCTCTGCCCAAAAAGTATCTTCTCCTCCATCCCCCGTCCATTTGGCTAATTTTGACCCAGCCTTCAGGCCTGGGCTTGCCCATCTCCATCAGAAAACTCGTCCTGACACCACCCTTCCTATCCTTGGCCTCACACAGGCCTCTCCCCAGACTACATGCGTCTGACCCCCTAGTTGCTAGGTAGCTGACTTTACAGCTGTATCCTTGGTACCTTACTGGGACTAGGCATTCAGTAAATCAGTGAGTAGGCTTATCCTTTGAGAGAGCATGTCCCAAAGTTGGAAGCAGCAATTTTCTACTTTGTTGTTTCCAGTAATTATCTGAGAAAGCCTTGTCATCAAGAGGAAAATACAGTTTTGCACATGATGTGAGGAGTCATACTTCATAAGTGTCCAGTCCTGAAGAGCCCACAATGATCATCAGCAATGCAGAACCTCTGTGATCTTCACTGGGCTTGTTGTATATTGTCACATGTTAAAAGAGAAAGTATCCTAACTTAGTAGTGTAAATAGTGAGTAGACCGATAACTTACCTCATACATGCTTTTACCTTCTGCTCCTGCTTTGAAAAGCTACTGACGCCTGTCTTTTCTTCCAGTCAAACGCTTCAGAGAACCAAAGCATGAAAGACGTCCATGGAGGATATGGTATGTACTAAAGTATGAAGTCATTCCTAGAATGGTTTTGATTGTTGAGTTTTGAGGGGTGGGGTGTTCAGGAGAGGTGGTTGTGGTGAGTAGGGGATGGAATGTGAGAAATTGCATATATGATTAATTCAGTTGAGTTAATCATTAGGAATTATGTATAATATGAAAGCACTTGTAATTTCCAGATTACTTTTGACCCCTAGCATTATTTTGTGATCACACTCCTTCTAATTTCAGAAGATAGAAAATAATACAAATATATCATTTTCTGCTGCAGGCTTCTTTGTCTCTGTCTCCCTGTTTTTAGATTGTATTTAAATTCTTGGATTCTGTAGTATATATGTGTAAGCAAAAAAGAATCCAGATTTGGAGATTATCAACCACAGTACACCGTACAAATGCTTCTTTGTCCAAAACTGGTTTTACTTAGTGCTAGTATGAAGGAAAACTATTTTCGTATTCACAGTCCTCCTGACACAAAATGTGTGGGTTTTTTCTCCTATACTAACCAGTTTCTCAAAATCCAGATACCACTACTTGAGTGTCTCATAATTAAACTCAGTTCTGACCCGAACTACCTGAGTTAGCAGAGACACCAAAGCTGGAGGACTCAGTGCCACAAGCCTGCCCTTCCACTTCCCATGCTCATCGTGAGTAGTGGGTCCTCAGGGAACGCACACTTCTGACCAGCTCCCACAAAGTAGGGGGTGTATACATCCCCCTCCTCCATTCAGTACTTCGCTAGAGCAGTCCATAAAACTCAGAGAAGCATTATGTCCATTTACTGGTTTCTTTTAAAGGATAAAGATGCACAGCCAGATGGAGAGATACGGAGGAAAAGGTCTGGAAGGTGTCTGAGTCTGGGACCTTCTGTACCTTGGATTTAGGGTGCACCATCCTCCATGTGTGTGGATTTGGGCACCAGCCCCAAAGCTCTCCAGCATGCGTAGTTTAAGGATTTGTGTGGCGGCTTTATCACGTAGCCATGACTGACTGTTAACTCAGACCCAAGCCCCTCTGTCGCTGGAGGATGGTGTTGAGAGGGAGGGGCTTCTGGTCATAGTCAGTCTCTCTGGTGACCTCGTCCATCCTGTCGCTGTGGAGGAGCCACTAAACATCACCTCATTAAAACAAAGGATGCCATCACTCCTGACATTCCAAAGGATTAGGAGTTCAGTAATAGGAACTGGGCTCAGAAACCAACTATCAGGACAAAAGTTGCTCTAGCACCCCTGACACTAAAGAAATTACAAAGGGTTTAGGAGCTCTGTGTCAAGAAACGGGCAGAGACCAAGTGTTATTCATTAGATAGATAATCAAGCCTTTCTGTTTCCTGAAGGATGATGCTGCAGTGGCAATTTTTTCACAAATTTTTGGTAATAAGGTGGTAAAGCTTTACAAGTAGGTTCAGAGGACAAAACTCCAAAACATTCAGTCACTTGGAAGGATGCTGCCAGCCCCTTGGGACAGCTGCTGTCCACAGGAAGCTGCTTTGCGGGCTGCTTGGTTTGCTCTTGCCCACACGAAACACCCCCTGTTGTCTTCGGAGGAAACCTCGATAGGTCACTGTGACAACAGCCTTTCATGAAATTTTAAGCTTATACGTGTTCTTAAAGACATTACTGCCAAATGTTGATAATTCTTGTTTTTATTTTCCCTGCTCAGTGGTTTTCTCAGATCTGGGTATTTGGCTTCTAACTAGGCGACTTCCACCTCAGCACTAGGGAGGGACCTGGTGAAGACCTAGATCCAGGGCTCTCCGAGTCTTACACATGCTCTTCTTTGCTGACCCCTCTCTGCCTTCTCCCTCTCCTTATTTAGGGAATGGTTTTCAAGCTCTGTCTCAAGGCCGGTCTGGTTAATCTCTGATCTGCTCATTTTCTTCAATTTGGATATTACCCTCTTGTCCAGACTGATAACAAGTGCCATTTCTATTTTGTGCAGGTTTTTAGACACTTCCAAACAAGCCATAGGGATGCTGTTCATCCACTTTGCAAATGTGTACCTAGCAGATCTCACTGAAGAGGACCCTTGTTCGCTGTAAGTGGCCCAGATTTAAGTGCAGACATGGTCCGCCCTCCATTGAGATTGGGCTTGCCTTGCGTTCTGCCACCAGTTCCGCCTCCACAGTTTGGGGAGGAACTCCATTTGTCCTGTGTTCCCTTGAGAGCTCATCCCACACAGCTTCAGCTGATGCTCGGGGCCTTGACAGTTGCCCCATGCATATGCATTTACCAGCCTCCCAGCCACCCTTGGCAGGACAGGACAAAGCCCTTCAAGAGTGTCTCTGTTCCAGAACAGAATATGGGGTGGGGGAGCTTCTCTGTGGTATCAGCCACTCATGGTCAAACTATCGTTGACTGTCATTTACCTCTTTGACTTCAAGAGCAGGGGTTTTTCTTCCTTCCAGTGCAGAACGCTTTCACAGCCCCAGAGCATCTGTCTGAGGCCTTCATCTGGCCATAAATCTTGTCCTCCTTGCTAGTAGTGCCCAAGTGGTTCTGCTCTTAGCAGGTGGAGTGGCGATAGAAGCTGGCCTCCTTCATCTCCGGCCTTCTTTTATCCACAGAGCAGCCTTGCTCTGTAGAAGCTTTGATGATCTCCACTTTCCAGCTGGAGAGTTGAGGCACAAAGAGGTTGCACTCCTTAAATTCATGCAGTTCTGGAGTGGTAAAACTGGACTAGAGTCGAGTGTTCTTGGCTCAAGGCCTGCATGATACCCTGCTGCCTGCCCGTCTTCCCTGTGTTGAGGAGAATGTAGAACTTGGTCTTTATTCCTGGTGATTTTTAGACTGGGTCTCAGATGTGAGGGGCGCTGGGCAGTAATTAGATGTGAAGATGTGAGCAGAGCGCTTGGCGTTAGGCCAAGGAGGAAATTCCCTTGGAAGCCTGTGCTCCTCTCGCCGTCCCTGGTCTGAGAGTGACCCCTTGTGACTTTGAAGAGGAAGGGCAGGCTGTGAAATCACTGTCCCCCTCCCCTCTCCATGCTGGTTTTCTGGTTCCTGGAGACTGAACGCAGCATGCTTCCTTTGGCACTGGAGTGCTGTGTACATCACAGAAGCGCTGGCTGGGGAAGAGCAGCCCAGAAGCTCCCCACAGCCAGGTCCCATGGTATCCTGGAGCTTATCAGCAGGGATTTCAAGCCATGTGGTGTCAGAGAGTCAGTGCCAGCCTTGTGTCCCATTGTGCCATAGAGAGCTGGGGCCTGTGGTCAGCAGTGCCCAGCTGGACCTGGGTGCAGGGCCCTCAATGGAGAGCAGGTGGGAAAAGGGCCTTGCCTTGATGAGAGCCAAGATTTTGCGTGAGACAGGTGGGAACAGACCTTAGCAGGATGTGTGGTCTGCAGATGACATGCCTACGGCCCTCCTCCTTCCCCCAGGCCTCTGGCCTTTTCCCCAGGGAGTAAAGCTTTCCTTAGTGCAGAAGCATGGCTTGCAATGACTGCAGACAGGGATGTGAGGGATTCTCAGGGCTGCCTGCAGCATCCAGCGCAGTCTCGAACTTCCCTGGGGTCGGAGGGGGGCAACCGGTGGAGGATGAAGAAATGAAGACAAGATACAAAGAGCTGAGATCAGGTGGAGCCCTGTCCCCAGATGGGAGAGCTGCTCGACACCTGCAGTGGGTTTATTTAGACACACGGGAGGTTGGTGTCAGGTGAAACCCCTCTTCCTAAGAACTAGCTCGCCTCTCATACCCGGTGTTCTCAGGGCTTGAACACCTGTTCACCTCGGGCACTCCGTACTCTGGGCTCCGCACGTGTGAACGATCTCCAGCTCAGCCGCTCCCGACACCTGCCCTCTTTGTCTAAGAAACTCTGAGAGCATTTGCCTGGACTTTCCTGGGGCAGCAGCACTGTTTCAGGGCCTTGTGTGGCCGGACTATCGGGGAGTACACATCATTACCAGACAGATTTTTTTCTGGTCAGTTAAGTTCTGTTTTGCTGTTGGTTTTCTTGGCTGTTTCCAGGTACTCTGTCTTCCTTGGAATCTTGGCCTGGTAGAAATGCTTGAGGTTTTTAAAGTTTCTCTGTCCTTCTCCTGCCTTACCCCCCTCAACTTGCTGAGTATGAGCACACTGTTGGGAATTGAGAGCCACAACCTCTGCAGTCTCCTGCCTGGCTCCTGTAAGGCCCCTAGCGCAAGGCCAGACGACGTGCTGGGCCAGTTAGCTTCTCAGACTGCATCTACATCCGTCTTCACCTCTGCCCTTGGTGAGCACTGCCCTGAGGGCATAGCTGGTGATGTTTGCCCCTTTCCTCATAGGTACCTCATCAACTTTCTCCTGGATGCCACCGTGGGCATGCTGCTCATCTACATAGGTGTGCGTGCTGTCAGCGTCCTGGTGGAGTGGCAGCAGTGGGAGTCCCTGCGCTTTGGCGAATATGGTAACATACGGTGGACATGGGGCGGAGCGGGGAGGTTTGGAAGCTGGTAGCTGTCTCTTCTCCATGGTGCAAGGGGCTATTTCTTTTTTTTTTTTTTTTTTAAGAGAGTCATAAATGAGAAAAAAAAAGAAAAACAACAGCAGCATACCAACATCACAAACATAAATGAAACAAAGCAAGAACATTAAAAGTGATGCAGGGTTTCAAGACAAAATGATAGGAATTAACAGTGGTTTTTATATTACGTATTGTTATCTTCAACTACATTGCTCAAAAACAAGACGTAAGAATGGAAGATTGTTCAAACCATTAAAGAGAATAAAAAAATTATTAGGTAAAACATCAGAGATAATACAGAGTTTCAGTAGACAAGATGATAGGAATTCACCATGGTTGTTCCATTGCATGTTGTTGTCTTCAAATTAGTTGCTCAGATTACCAGACACAAGCATGCAAAATTGGCCAGAACATAAAAAATTTTAAGCATTAATTGTTCCTTTTAATATACCATCAGACATCAGCAATACAGTTATTGCAGCTATTCATATGTATGTATATTTTGCCTTCTTTCTTTTTTCTTTCCCTAATCCCAGTCCTTCCTTCCTTTGAGCAATTTCTTTCCCTTTCCTATCATCTATTGTACGTTTTGAGTTTTACTTATTCTTTCAGGTTCCTACACCAGGGAGACAATATGATGTTTACACATGTGGGTCCGATTTATTTCACTTATGAGTATGGTCTCTAGTTGCATCCATTTACCTACAAAAGCCTTGAGTTTATCTTTTTTTAGAGCTGAGTAATACTCCATTGTAGAGAAATACCACATCTTTTTTATCCATTCCTCAGTTGATGGGTATTTGGGTTGTTTCCGAGAGGAAGGGACTATTTCTGGGGCCTGGATGCTACCCCCTGTGGGTGAGGGTACCTGCTTCACTGCCAAAGCTCTCGCCTTGTGTCAGAGAAAGTAGTGGGAGCCGGAAAACACTCTGGACTTGGAGGGGCTGAACGTTTGCCTTTCCTACTGGGGAGCACTGGCAGTTCTACTTGCTGGGTTGCAAGGCCACCTCATTCTTCCAGGCGTCCCATAGAACTCACCCAGCATGTTGGAGAGATGCAACAACATTCCCTTGGGAGGTGGAAGTCCTGCCCCTCCTTCTGACACGTATCTGTGCTTGTCCTATTGCCAGGCCATTCTACCGGCAGAGGGGAGCCCACACAGGCAAGACTAGATGGTGCCTTCTCTCTGAAGTCAGAATACCTTGCTTCCTCCCACTGCTGACTCGCTCCCCTCCCAACCTGGCTTCTGGGTGCACCAGTTACCAGCAGCACAAAGTCCATCCTCACTCCGAGGCTTGAAATAGGTGATCTGTGTATGCTGGCCCATCTCATCAGACCCCTTCAGATAGAGCTTCAAGAGCAACCTGCCGTTCTGCTGGCTTCAAGCACAAGAAACAGCTGGATGTGGCCTCAGCAAGCTGCCCTCTGGGGTTTGAGGGTAGGGCTGAGGGGTCAGCTCTTTCCCACCTTCCCAGCTGGTCCCTGCTGTCTGCAGGCAGGAGCCGGAGCCTTTGCCATGAGAGGGCACACAGGACCAGAGGAAGAAGTGTAGATAGAAGTCTGGGTTCCACTCCCCTTTCCTGATCACGCTTCCCAAAAGAGCTCACTGCTCTGAGCCCAAGGACCACTCACTTCTAGGTGGCTGAAGATCCTCAAGGGACTGACAGATTAAACAGGGAGCTGATTTGTGAAGCTAGCCAAGTGCCTTGGATATTTCTAGAAACTTTAAGTACATAATTGTCTCCATTGAGGGGAGATGAGCTTGCGAGAGGGCTTTTCTTAGCTCTGTTACTTGATGCCTGATGAGTCACTGACTTAAGATAGTGTCCAGCACACAGCCTGTGCCTCCTGGCCTCCAGGGAAGGCTTCTGAAGCTCTTCGAGTCATCTGCCCCTGAGCTTGCAGGCTGGAAATGGACCCCAGCATGTGTGAACCAAGGCAGCAACATCCTCGTCTATAGAGTAGGTACCTAGAGAAATTAGGTGATTCACAAAGTATACCCAGCCAGCATGTGGCTGAAGGGCTTATGTCCTCTGTACCAGGAGCCTAAATCGTCCAACCGCCTCTCCACACTGCTCATAACCACTACTCCTTTGCTGTTGAGATCCCTTCGGAAAGCAGAGCTCTCAAGTCAACCATAACCAACCAGACAACAGGACTCTGCCCTGTCCAGTGTAGCTCTTGGGGTGAAGGATGGTAGAGGCTGAAGAAATAAAGACAAAAGTTAGAATATAGAAAGCTAAACTGGGGTGTGGTGGCACACATCTGTAATCCCCGCACTGAGGAGGCTGAGGCAGGAGGATCGTTGCAAGTTTGAGACCAGCCTGGGCTACAAAGTGAGCTCAAGGCCAGCCTAAACTGCAGAGTGAGACCCTGTCACAAAAAGACAAAAAATACATATGTATATAAAAAGCTGAGGTTAGGTGGAGCCTCCTCTCCTGATGGGAGAAAAAGGACTGCTCAACCACAATGCGTTACAGAAAAAAAAAAAACAAAACACAGTATGTTTATTTATACACGCAGCAGGTTGATGTCATGTGATGCCCCTCTGCTTAGCAACCTGTTTGCCTGGATTGCCTTGGGCCCTCTGTGTTCTCAGGGCTTGTTCACCTGGCTCACCTTGGGCATTCCTCACCTGTGATTGATCTCCAGCTACAGCTGCTCCCCACAGGACTCAGCCACTCCCCACAGGACTCTAAACTCAACTACATCTGGATGAGGGCATTTGACTCAACTATAACCAGCTGGAGCTAAGGTGGATCCCAGTCAGCTGTGTGCTGCTCAGTTACCTGGGGTGAAGGTCAGGTCTGGACCTAATACACCAAGCACTGCAGCACTTCTGTTCCCAAACGTGTTGTCTACAGTCCCAGGAGTAAATCAGCAGGAAGGAGGCAATGGTTGTGTTTGTGCCACTTGGCCTGGCTTTGCCTTCTCCCAGTCAGTAGCCTTGGGAAGCAGAGTCTTCAAGCAGGCGTAGGTTCTTTCCAGAGATCCCTGTCCTTTGTCAAGGACCATCACAAGTCTCCCTCCCCAGACTGTCTCCTCACTGTCAGTTTGTATTTTCTGTCACTGCTGTAACAAATGAACACAGATTTAGGGAATAAAACAAATTAATTACAGTTCTTTCCTTTAGAAGTCTAGCATAGTTCTCTTGGACTAAAATCGGGGTGACAGCAGGGCCACATCCTTCTGGAGGTGATAGAGGAGATGGTTCTGTTGCTCTTTCCCAGCCCTAGAGACTGTCTGTGTGCCTTGGCTCGTGGCCGCCTCTGCCTTCAGAGCCAGCCACCACAGGTCAGGTCTCACATCGCACTGCTCCGACCTTGCTCCTCCGACCTTTGCTGCTTTCCGCCTTACAATGTCCTTGTAATTTCATTAGGTGCACGTGGATGCTCAGAGACAGTCTCTGTCTTAAAGTCAGCTGATCCGCAGTCTTAATCCTGTTGCCAGCCATTATTGCTCCTGTGCTTAGTAACATCCCATATTCACGGGTTCTGGGGATTCACATGTGGACCATTATTCTGCCTGAGACACCAGTGAGCCTGTCTGTGCCTTTAAGCCAGAAACCACCAAGACCCATAGCTGTCTCCTATTGTAAGTGAAGAAGAGGAATGTATTTTCTGGGTAGCTTGCGTGCTCCCTAGAAGAAAGTACATAGGATTTGGGAAATAGGCTGCACTTGCCCAGTCTGAGGTGGCTGTAGTCTGATGACTGGGCCACCCTCTCCCTGAAAATGAGGGTCAGTGCTGCATGGGCTTTGCTGCCCACCTCTACTCAAAGGCCCCTTTCCAGGAGCCCCACAGCAGGAACTTGTTCTCTCCATTTGGGCCCTATTTCTGCAAACTTCAAACACCCATGTACCCGAGGTTGTCCAGTAAAAGGCAGGGCGCAGTGACCACAGCTGGCTTCAGAAAGAAGCGCATGTGTTCATTCCCACGGTGGCGATATGAGGGCTGGGTCCCTAGGAGAGGATGTGCTGGAGCCAGATTACAGGTGCTTTTTTCCTTTTTACACTGTGGTTTTGAATTTTATTTTAGTTAAACTTTGTTTTAGTTAAAACCAAAGGTAGAGGCAGCTCAGTTGTGCACCAGAACCTCAGAAGCGAGGCACACGGGAGGAAAAGTACTTTCTTTCATCAGTCTAAGATCAGGTGGAGGGAGCACACTGAGCAGGTGGGTGGTTTGATAGTAAATAAGTGGTGCTGCCCATGTTGCTGAGTTTTCAGGCACGTGGGTCCCCAGAGACGGTTCCTCTCTGGCTGTCCCCAGTTTTGCTTAATTAAGCAAATAGTTTCGTCTCCTTTGGGGAACTTTTCTCAGTAAGGTCAGGTGGTTCACAGCAAGCATTGCAGAATCCATTAACAACCCCACAAGGAGGGGTGTACTTCTGAAATGATTTCTGGCTGGAGTGCCCTACCTCAGAGGTGAAAGTAGATGGGAAGACCTCAGATGAGGCAGCTGATGTTTCTGCGTGCTTTCTGCCACCCTTCTCCCTGCGTTTCCCAGAAAAGGGAACAGCCTGGTGAGTTGTCCATTACGACTGCCTGAAGGCGTTCCCTGTGCTTCCGCTGTGTCCACTGCCAGGCCCAGGTACCCCCGTGGGCCCGTGGGACAGGGACCTGGACAGGACCTCCATGGAAATGGTGGAATCAAATTAGGAGCTGGAGATTTCTCTTCAGGGTGAATTCTCTTCTCACTGCCTGGATTGGAGCCCTTTCCTCCTGAAATGCTACTCTCCACCCTCCTCCATTCTGACAGTGTTCAGACAGCTCTGACAGAGCCTCGGGGGCACCCCCAGTGGCCCCCGTGGTGGGCTACTCTCTGGTCTCCCACTCTGCGGAGGCCTGTGTGCCTCCCGGGGCCCATCACTGGGTTCTGCACGTTGAGCTCAATCCACTGAGGGGCCAGTCCGCTGCCCTGCACTGAGTCCTTCGTGAAGCATTCTGGGGGTGCTCCGGGAGCAGAGTACCCTGGACTGGTGCCCCTTTAGTTTCCCCAGTATAGTAACTGATGGGATCACTGGGCGGGGGTGGGGCGTCTGCGACTGCTGCAGGCCCCAGCCCATCACTCCCACCTCCTGCCTCAAGGGCTTTTCCTTGTCCCTAGCCAGGGTATTTAGGGTTGCCCGTACCAGACGTACGGGGCTTCCTGCCAGAAGAGATCTCTGCTGTCAAGGGTGAGAGCAGCCAGGAAGTAGCATAAGGGGCAGGAGGTTGAAGGTGGGAAATGAACAAGGAGGTCCGTTACTGCCTTTGTAAATCACTCATCTGAGGAAGGATAGCACAGTCACTGGAAAAATCAACAACGGATAATAATAGCAGTCTTGCTTCACACAGCTTCTGCTGCCAGGGGACAGAGAGCCAGCCTTTCTGAGTCCCAGCAATGAGCACTTACTAACTTTAGTGCCTTTTAATTCTTAGAAGCTCTTGAAAGAAGGATGATTCTGGTATGTCCAAATTAGGAATTCTGATTTTATTTAAAACACTGCATTTGCCTGTTAGGAATGAGGTGGTTTTCAGGGCTTCAGGGGGCTCTTTAAATATGTTTAGAGACAGGGCTCTGGGGTGTGGCTGGGGTATGAGGGCGCACAAGGATCTGGGTGGGGGGGAGTTGGGTGGGGGTGTGGTCTCACTTGCATGCGCAGGCCTGTGTGACAAAGCACCCACCTGTCCTTGCAGGAGACCCTCTGCAGTGTGGTGCCTGGGTTGGGCAGTGTGCCCTTTACATCGTGATTATGATCTTTGAAAAGTCTGTTGTCTTCATCGTACTCCTCATCCTTCAGTGGAAAAAGGTTTGCCTCTTGTCCCTGCCGCCGCAGCTCCCTGTGAAGCTAAGCAAACAGTACTTCCTCCTATCACCCACACACTGCAGCCCCGTGGGAAACCCAATTTGATTTTTGTTTTAACTCCATGAGTGGAGCCTGGATTTGGTCTGATATGGCAGCTACTTACAGAGCCTTACCTTGACATTCTTTTACTTGGCGTCCATCCATTTCACTTACGTAAGTGTCCACTCGAAATTAATCCTGGGATGTATAAACCTCATGAAAATGCAGGCTCTGCCTGTAGGTTGCTCATGAACTGGTTAGGCTTCAGACCTTGCAACTGTCATTTCTTTATGTTTGGAAGACATAGCCGCCTTTGCCAATTATTTAATTGAGCCATTTGGGGCTGCAGTAACTTTCCTAGCCCGTGACCACCAGCATGCAGTCCCGTGAGTTCATAGTTGTCCTCAGCCTGGCCTTTGCCGTCTGACCCTAACGCCGCATACATCAGCCTCCACTGCTCACCCCCGCGAAATCTTCCAGAACATGTGTCTCCAGTCTTGGCCTCCGTTTGGTTTTATCTGTGACTAGACTTTTTTTTTTTTTTTTTAAATAAGCCAAGGCATTTTAGAGCTGTTGTCTTACAAGGGTGGTTCGGGTGCTGGATTTCTGCTAGAAGATGTCCTTGCTGCTGATGTCACTAATGAGTGGCCGCTGAGTTACTCCTCTAGTCCCCAAAGCCCACAGTTCCCTCCAGCTTAGGCTTTCAGGTCACCGTGGGCACGGCATGGCTCTGGCTCAGTGGTTGTAAGCCCACTGCACTTAGCAAGTCCAGCTGCTCAAAGTGTTATCAGCCTCCGGGGGTTTCCCACATTAATAGTCAGACGTGCGGGGCCACACTTGGCACAGGGCTGGTATTAGGGCTGTTCTTGTCAGGTTGTTGGGGGGGGGGTCTTAGCCTAGAGCTTCCCAAGGCTTCCTGGGCACTGTCCCTGTGGCTTCCTCCTCACTTCCTCTGCTCTCTTCACAGGTGGCCCTACTGAATCCTATTGAAAACCCAGACCTGAAACTGGCCATTGTCATGCTGATCGTCCCCTTCTTTGTCAATGTCAGTATCATGTTTTGTTTTACCTGGTTTGGGCCCTGGTCTCCACGGTCCTGTTCAAAGTTTGGGGTCTGACAAAAAAACTTGTTGTGTAGCCTGCAGGTCTTTCTGTGTAACCAGTTATCATCTCCCCACTTCTGCCCTGGAAATGGCAGGATTTCTTCCTTAAAAGGCAGGCCCCCACTCAGGGCCCCTGTACAAGATGAAGGCTCCTGGGAATTCTGTCCTGCCCGCTCTGCCGGTTGCTCTCCCACCAAAGCATCCCTCCCCATGTGTGACGCCTAATTCTAGATAGGGATCATTTTGAACGTGCCCCAGACCTTTTTCCTCATGCAGACCTCAGAAAGAGATTTGTGAGCACAGTGGCTAAAAGGTAGGAAACAGTGAGGAGTGCTATAGGAATCTGGGCACACAGAGGCAGTGTGGCCACCCGTTAGGGGCCCACACAGATGGCATGGAGTAGGTGTCCAGAGACCTTGCTCCTGAGTCACACAGGCTGCCAGTCACTTAGAATAAGAAAAACCCCATTTTCTGATAAGAAAACTGCAGTGGGGAAATAGAGATGAGGAGTTTTTCCCAAAGTTTGTAGAAGATAATGCGGGTTGGGGACATGAGGTCTCTCTTTCTCTACTTCCGAATTTTATGACACAGAGTGGCCGTGGGGGAGGGTGGTTGTGGGACCGCTCTGCTCTGCTTTGAGAATGGCTTCTTCCACAGTAACCTGCACTTGTCCTTCCGTAGGCTTTGATGTTTTGGGTAGTAGACAATTTCCTCATGAGAAAAGGGAAGACGAAAGCTAAGCTGGAAGAGAGAGGAGCAAACCAGGACTCCAGGAATGGGAGCAAGGTCCGCTACCGAAGGGCTGCGTCCCACGAGGAGTCTGAGTCTGAGGTAGGAGTCTCCTGACTGTCTGAGGCCTGGCATCATACCACCGGCCCTGGGGGTCTCTGTCTCACGGGTGCGTTTGGTCTTCTCTTGCGTGCTGAGTCACAGTACAGCCGGGGGGAAGAGGAGCTGCACTGACGAGCAGCCAGGTCACAGCTCCCGCCCAGCGAGTGGCCATGCCGGTGCTGGGTGGGCCTTCCTAGGGCAAGAGGGTAGAGCACAGGGCAGGGTGGCCTGCCCCCACAGTCCCACTGTCGGACAGAAAGACAGCAAAGCAGGAGCCGTCTTGTTCCAGGGAAGCTGGCAAAGACCTTCATGGGCCTTGCAGTTGACCTTCAAGCATTGGGTGTTAAATCCCTGCCCTCCACTAACAAGTAAGGGAAGCTGTTGGCTCAGCCACCCAGAAACTTGTAAGATAAAGGAGTAGGCAGACCTCGAAGGGGCGGCCTCGTCTCCCCCTTAGATCCTAGATTCCCAAGTTCAAAGGCATGGACTGCAGGCAAGGATGGAGGTCATGAGCAGCAGCGCAGAGGCAAGGATTTGTATGCTGGCGGCCCGCAGCACTCACTGCACATGCGTGAACCATGGCATGCAGACTTGTGAATAGGTAAAGGTGGATGCTCAGAGAGCTCATCACACAGCAGTGCATTCAAAGACTGAGGCTCAAGCAGCACCCTGGGAGTTCCCTGGCCTGTCTGCAGGGATTTTTGAGAGATAAATAGGACAGAGCTTAAGCCCGTGTCTTTTCTAGGTATGTGTTCCTAGAATCCAGCACAGGGCTTGTCACATCATCAGAGCTTGGTGAACGTTTGGTGAGCGACAAAACAGCAATACAGACAGAAACAACAGCTTGTGAGCATTCAGTCACGTGTTTTGGTGCCTGGGTAATATGAAATTCACTGTGGCCAGGGCAGCATTTATTCCACGGTATAAGCCAGAATGACAAAAAAGGAGGTACAAGCAAAGTTTGAGCCACATAGGTAAGGTGTCTTGCTCCTGGGGTATGCTTGGACAGGCAGTAGGGAGCTAGTGAAAGTTTAGTCAGGCAACCGAGACTGGAAGCCAGAAGCCCTCAACACAGTGACGGTGGACCTGTGGCACATGAGCCAAGTCGCCCTGGCAACTGAGTATCAGATAACAGCGCACAAAGGGGCAGGGTTGGACTTTGCAAATGTATAAGTGGGTTTTAGGTTGCAGTTTGGGCACTCAGTTTCTGAAAGGCTCACCATCACTGCCTCGAGACCAGTCCAGGGGAGAAGTGGTGACTGTTTGCCCTGCTCCTGGGGCAGAAGGAGTTCGTGTTCCCCTGCACAGGTGAGCCTGGGCCTCATCCAGTTGGTATAGGTTTTGCTGGTCTTTCCTTGGTGCTCAGGATGAAGCCCCATCTGCATGGTGGCTTGTTCGAGGAGCTCAGAAAAACAGACATTCCTGTTTGGCTTCAACAGTGACAGAGTTCTTCAGCGTGACGGAACAGTCCCTCTGAATCTCCCTGCCCTATGCGTATCCCGTGGACAGTTTCTTTTCCTTTTGAAGGAGGGTTTTTGGTTTGCTGTATTACTGTATTTAAGGCAGTTTCAGGACTCTGGATTCCATGTCAAATTGAACAATTTTTTGCCAGGATAACGTTACACTGCAAGTCCCTGTTGAGTTAACTGATGGGCTTTGAGTCCAGCTAGAGGTTGGAAGAAGAGGGCGCGGGGGGCATCAGCAGAGACAGGAAGTCTATCGGCTCAGTGCTGGTTTCTTTTTATGTAAAGAAGCATAAGCCTTCTGGAGGGACTTCTGGAGCATCCCAGGTGTAGGGAGGGCAAAAGCAGAAGGTGCTGCTGGCAGCGTCTCAGGCCGTGCTTCCCCTCTGCCTCAGATCCTGATCTCGGCTGACGACGAGATGGAGGAGTCCGACATGGAGGAGGACCTCCGCAGACTGACCCCCCTCAAGCCTGGGAAGAAAAAGAAGCACCGCTTTGGGCTGCCTGTATGACACATTCCAGTGCTGGGGGTGACAGGTTTGAGGCCCAGCCAGCTGCTGTGTCAGCAGATGGTCGCCCCACAGTGTCAGCCCTCCCGTCCTCTCTCTGCCTCTCCTCTTCTACCTCCACTCCTCCTGCTGTCTCTGCCCACTCTCCGCCCACTCCCAGACTACTGTGACTTAAACAGAGGGAAGAGGAACCAGCGCCCAAGTGGGCCGTGGGCAGCTGGAGGTCCCCCGCTCAGTTGCACTACAAACACTGACCAAATATGCAAGCCAAGAGCTTTGTTTGTTCGTTGTTGTCCTGGACAGTGCTGTGAGGGACCTCAAAGCCCCTGTCCTGTGTCTGACTGGGTGACATGGTAGAAAACACAGGTACTCACAGAGCTCCCTGAGGCTGCAGGCAGTGTGGACACATGACATGCTTGGGGCTAAAAGTCACTCATTGACCAAGTTGGAACGGAAATGCTTTCTTACTCAAAGTGGCTTTTGTAACTCTTGATTTCTAGAGCCGGTTTTATGAGCTGTGACAGTGTTACTGTTTTATGAGTATATGTTTATTCCTACAAAATACCTGCGGGACTAATGAGCAAAACATAGATTTTTTTAAGTCTTCCATATACTGTTTGACTTTTATATTTTTAAGTTATATTTTCATACTGTTGTATTTAAAAACTTTTTAATCCCCAAAGAAATGGATTTGTTTGCCTTTCATGGGGTTTGAGCTGGTGGGAGGAAGAAGTGAGGAGTTTTTACTTGGAATATTGGTAGGTAATGACCAGTGAGACAAGAGAAGATGCAGGGGGAGACCTTAATTTAAAAAAAGGATTCAGGGGAAGGTGAGCAACCTTTATGTGCAACTAGAAGCCCGAGGTTGTGTAAAGGTCAGACCTGAGCGTGAGGCAGCTGGTCCAAAGCTCTTTGGCATCTATTTCTGGAATGCAGACAGGTTACAGGTGTTGGTGAATTCTGAGAAAGGACCCTTAGAGTTAGTTTGTGTGTCAAGAGGAATCCAGACCTCCAGGCTCTCGTATTTGTTCCTTGCCTCCACTGCAGCAGCCTGCAGGACCAGCCTTCCCTGGTACCTGTCACCTGCTGTCATCCGCTCGTTAGCGCAGCAGCCTGGAGAACGTCTGCCTGGCCAAGCGAGTCTCTTTTTGCACCCTCCAGAGCTGTGAGTGGACTCGCAGGGCAGGCAGAGATGAGAGAGCTCCCTGTCTAAATCCACAGCACCAAGAGATACTTCTAGGCCCTATCCCCTGCTTGGACGGTGGCTCCTACTCCTCAGCCACAAGCCCCTGGCTCTGGGAGTTTGCTGAATGTGGAGGGGGCTGAGCCCAGCACTTCGTGCTGTGGAAGCAGCGTGGTGGAGCTGCCCGGGGTTTGGTAAGCCAGCAGGCAGCCGTGGACGTACAGGAACGGGAAAGCCCACTGCTGCACTGTGGCGCGAGGACAGGCGCGGTGGAGGCCACTGTGCAGCCTTCTTTTTAAACCTGGGGGTTTTACTTAAGCATCATGGGTCTGAATATGTGTGGCGTGGGTGAGCCAAGCTGCTGCTCTTGATTCTGCCTGTCCTGGACACAGGAGCACACCTTGGGAAGGCCCTCTTGGCCCAGCTTCCTCTAGGAATGCAGACACCCCTGAGGATGGGGACTGTAGCCATGCAGTAGGAGTTGCTAGCGTGGTCATCATGGCCAGAGGAGGGGAGAGACTGGCAGTGAAGGAGACATGGAGAGGGTCCATCTTGGGTCCCGTATGGCTCCTGCTCTTGTTTACTCCATTACCCCTTCCATCCCACACCTGTGGTCTTCCCCCACTCCTCTCCAGTGGGGGTCACTGAGTCCCCTTTGGGAAGACCAGGACTGGCACCCCTGGTGAGCCCATCTGTCCCTAATGGTATCATTGACTCCTCTCCTTTCTTCCCCACTCCCGCTCACTGTGGTTGGGTAACCTGTGGAGCCATTTGCCACCTTTCTAAAACCCAGGCCCGCATGGTCAGTCTTGAGTTCCTAAGGTTTTCAAAGCAGTCACAGAGGTGGGGGAGTTCCAGTCTATGAAAAATGGAAGCGCCAAGTTGTGTTGACCTCAGATGACTCACCTCGAGGCTCATCCCAGCTCCTGCTGAGCAGTAGATATGGAAGGCAAAAGAGGCAGTGCGAGCTGGGTTTCCCTGAATCCTGATTTTTAAAAAGGACTGGAGCTGTGGAGTTGGCTGATAGAGAGTCTGATCACAGAGGCCTCCTGGAACGCAGGCTTGGACAGTGTGGCAGCGTGTGTTCCGCCTTACCTTGTGTGGATATGTTCGTACCTGCACCCACTTGCGCACACACATTCACATGCTGCAGGAGAGCTTCCAGTAGTCGCTGGGTCCTCATCTATAGTTCACTGTCCCATGAAAGTGGAGGCAGGGCTGTGATCAGGACACTTCCTGAGCTGTCCTTCCCCTGGGATGTTTCCTTACCGCTTGCTCCAAGGTGCCTTATGAGGTGCAGCCCTTCACCGGCCAATGGCAGGCATCACCATGCTTGAGAAGCGATGGGATACTGATGGATATTATGTGCTGTTAACCTGATTTGTCCAAATCTGGACTTTGACCAGGTCACCCATGATGGAAGCTTGCAAGTCAAGGTCATGAACAAGTTTCTTGTAACTAATAAACCGATGAGGAGGAACTGTCATCTAACTGGAAGAGATGGTTATTGTTATTTCCTTTTACTGTCAATGGGACATTGAGGGTGGCAAGGGGGGTTGGTGGTGAGATCACGGGTGGGAGTGGGAGTGGCTTCTCAATCTGCACATGCTAAAGATGTGCCGTGTAAGGGTCTGCGGGCCCTTAACCCTCAACATGCTGGTGGCCTCCTGCCTCAAACTTGAACTTGTGTCCTCTCTGGCAACAGAGTCATAAATTAGTGGGACCTCATACCTCTTTCTTCAGGTAAAGTATAAAGCCTCAAATGCAAGTTGTGACTGCCCTTCAGCAGTAGCCCTTTCATCCCAGGGACACACTGGAAGTTGCCCCAGGACCTCCCAGACTGCAGTTGGCTGGCCATTTTGTAGCCAAGTTAGGTGGCCTGGGAGCTTCCTGCCAGCCTGACAAAGCAGCCACCTTCTAGGGTATCACGCCGGCTCTTAGAGGCTCCCATGCTGCCAGCTAAGAGGCAGAGCTCTGTTTTACCCTGCAAGACTTTAGCAGCCGTGAGGGGTGTTGCTTTTGGTGAGGGACTTCTAGTCTGACTTACTTTGAGCACCTTGAGATCCTGGATAGGTGGGTAGGTTGGTTGGCTGGTTGGTTTGGTCGTTTTACATTTGATTTTTCTTTTCATGAAGTTTATTAGAAGTCAGACCTACCACATGAGCCAAAAACTGCCAAGTTCAGCTGCCATCCCGTGGAGGTGTTTAACCAGTGGTGTTACGAGTCACAGAAAAGCATTTTTGAAATGAAAGGGAAGATGATGTACTTACATTGTAAAATGGTTTACAGTAAAGTTTGACAGCTTATTATAGGTTTTATTTTTTTAATGAAACTTTTATTTATTTATTTATTTATTTATTTTGGCATTGGTTGTAGGTTTGTTAGAGTTGGAACGGTGTAGTGGGGTTAAAAAAAATTTTTTTTTCCCTAGAGAGGTAAAAGGCTCTTCCCCGAAGCAGAGCAAGAAGGAAGCTTACATTGCCCAGTGGAAGCAGTGGAGCTGAAATCTACTAAAGAAAGTAACCAAACATGGTCGTGCTTTCCACTTCTCAGTAATGAGTCTAAGCCAGTCTACCTCCTGAGGAGTGTTGTGTTGGAAGGTAGCATGTGAGGAGTGAATATCCCACCTCTTTGTTCCCCGAGGCCCCAGAGCTGAACAGAAACAGCTGTGGGGCAGTTCCGCACCCTCAGTACCACCCAGATGGCCCCTCTGGTAGAGGCGCCCTCGAACAGCCTGCTGTGCGTGCTCTGCCTCTTGGCCCTGCTTGACATCCCAGGCATTCCCCGTGTCAGCATTTATCTCACACCCAGCCTGGCAGTCCTCACACTGGCATCCTGGGACCAGAGGGGGGCTTGGGGTGGAAGTTGAGGTATGACAGCAGTGAAGTGGCATTTGGGATAACCAAATGTCAGAGCCTGGTTGGGTTCCATCTGCTGGGAGCCTTCAAGGGTAAAAATAACCACCATAACAAATGGGAAAGGAGCTGCCACGCATGGTGATACACACCTGTAACCCCAGCGTTTGGGAGACTGAGGTGAGAGGACTGTGAGTTGGAGGCCAGCTTGGATAGCAAGATTGTGTCTTTTCTAAGAAGAAATGAGCTGCTGATCTAATGGGAAGAGCCAGGCCCCCAGGCTTAGGACCCTGCCATGTGCCCCTGGGGAATCTTCCCCTACAAAGACACATGACAAAGCACTCATGACCTGGGAGGGCCCTTGGGCCTGTCCTTCCATAGCTCAGTAGCTGGAGTGTGGTTCACTGCCCCCAACCCTCTTGTGGCACTTAAATTGTTTGTTGGCCCGCCCCCTAGTGACCCATCTCAGACAGAGACTCTCCTTAGAGCCCTCCTTGAGCCTGTCCTCCCTTCCCGTCCTTCCCGCGCCCCTTACCTTCACCTCGCTGCATCCCTCTGCACACCTTGCACCAGCGCCAGATGGAGGAGAAAGACACCAGCAAAACCTGGATGCAACAGCTCCCCAGACTCCCCTCAGCCTCATTCTGTCCACCTCGGAGCCAACACTAGCCCTTCCTTGGAGTCTGTTGAGCAAAGGCTTCTAAGGGGCAGACAGGAAATTTCTGCCCTGCTGCCTTTGGGGGCTGCAAAGTCTCTTCCCACCGGGATCCAGAGAAAGAGGCAGAAGAGAAAATGAGCTTAGAGCATCTGACCAGCTCAGGACCCCCTTTTTCCTCAGAGAGCCTCTACACCAAGATGGGCCCCTGCAGACTTTCACATCCCAGCACTCACATTCATAAACACAAGCCTGTCAGCACCTGTGCCTGGCAGCTGTTCCCGAGGGTACGGGGTCTCTCCAGCTGTCTGCTCCCCCCAGGGTGCTGCCCCTCTCATCTCCAAGAATAAACTCTGAAGCCAGTGGCTGTGTGGACCTGAATCATCAGGGAGCCTGGTGGAGGAGGGGAGTGACTTCCCGGGACAGGCGAGAGCAGGATATATAAACTCCAGAGAGCCAGGCTTCACGCAGATCTCGTCCCTCTGCTACCGCCTTCAAGAGGCACCCTCGGAGAGCCGGCTTACCCAGCACCCACCATGTCCCAGGTAGGCAATCCAGCCCTGGCTGGCATGCAGCCAGAGGGATTGGGGAGGAGACCTGCATATCTGTGACAGCTGTCTTGAGCCTAGAACCATGTGTAAACAGGCAGCACTGTGACCAGCCAGGACACCCTGTGTCCCGCCTTACCTTCGTAAGTCCCTGTTAAGCTTAACTGCAGTTATTCTGTGGTGGGCAGGTCAGGGCGGTGTGTTGTGACACTTCTGTAGATCTCTGTATGTGTATGAGAGAGTTGTAGACGTTTGTAGCTGTGACCTCTATGGCCATGCAGAGTGTGTGTGTGTACACGCACACATGCCTATAGGTGCACAGCTCTGTGTCCGCGTAGCTATCTTCCCCAGCAGTGTGTCTCTGAGTTTTGGAGAGGTTGCCCTAGGAGCCTAGCCCAGCGTGAAGGAGGGAATCCCTGCACCTGCCTCCAGGGCTTAGGAGAGAATACAGATTCAGACTCCTAGGTGCCTGGTGTGTGGTAGGCACTGAGTCAGGCTGTCCCAACGCTGGAGAGGCAGCAGCCTCTTAAGGGGGAGGACTGTCCTCACGGCCTGCTCTGGGGGTAGGTGCCAAGTTTGTATTTAACTTTATGGTGTCTGGCCTGTCTGCTTCTCCCTTCCAGAAACACGCTAACAGTAAAAATACTGGTGTTTTGCGGGGGAGAAGGTTAATCCCTAAGGGACCCTTTGCCACCCCGTGAGCAGGTTCCAGAACTCAGCAGATTGCCGAGGGCTGCACAGCCTCAGAGGTGGCCTTCTTCCCCTTTGCCCGTGGTGCCCAACTCTGAATCTGGCTGGGTGGGCAGACCCATGTGCGGCTACAGGACACTGCCCCAGAGCTCCCTGTCCGTTGGGGGAGGGCAGGTGACAGGACAGACCAAGGGGCAAGGGATGGGGTGTAGCGGAGAAGGCTCCTTGGGAGGAGTGGGCCTCAAATGGCTTGAACTCAGTAAGCCGGGAAGAAGGTCTTGGCCAAAACACAGAGGTAGAGAAACAGTCTCTGTCTCGAGGCCTCAGGTCATAAGACAGAATTCTGGGCACTTCAAGGATGGCGCTCCTGAAGCCCCCATCAAGAAGAAGCGGCCCCCCGTGAAGGAGGAGGACCTGAAGGGGGCCCGAGGGAACCTGACCAAGAACCAGGAAATCAAATCTAAGACTTACCAGGTCATGCGGGATTGTGGTAAGTGTCGTCCACGTCAGCTGCGGCTGAGGGTGCGGTTTGGGGCACAGATGTCTGCCAGTGGTGGGGAGAAAGGGTCAAGAAAGGGTCCTTTTCTGAGAGTCCAGAGCGCCTGGGCTAAGGAGAGGCTGCTTCCAACACAAGGAGCCTCCTCCAGAGAAAGCTAGGCCAGGCCCTGACTCTCCCCGTGCTTTTCCCGCAGAGCAAGCTGGCTCGGCCGCCCCGTCGGTGTTCAGCCGCAGTCGTACAGGTGCTGAGACTGTCTTTGAGAAGCCCAAAGCCGGACCAGCCAAGAGCGTCTTCGGTTGAGAAGTGCTCACCGCTCGTCTCGGCTCCCTGATCCCTTGGACACAAGAGCCTTTTCCACGAACTCTTTTTTTATGCCACAATGTGCCCTTCTGCCTCTGGCTCCGGGACTGCCGCCCCTCCCCCACTGCCCCGGCCCTTTGGCACTAGCGCCTTGCAAACACCAATAAAGAAGATGCCCAGTTGACCTCGGCTTTGGGAGGGTGTTGGTTGGTCAGTATCTGCTGAGGAGAGGGAGGAGAGGGTGGGGGGTGCAGAAACATGCCTGAACCTTCCTGGGCTTTTGGGAAGGCCCCTGGGGATAATGCAGTGCTTTTAGGGCTCCTGAGACATACTAGAGAGAGCCTTGGACGGGGAGACCTGGTACTGACTCTGGCTTCAGACCGGTCTCTTCTTTCCAAGCCTCAGTTTCCCCTGGTAAACAACAGAAGAGTTGAGCTGGAGCCTGTTCTGTGAAGGGCCCACGCTGCGCAGAGTGAAGTCCGTGGAGGCCTGGGGTGTGCCCCTCCCCCTGCCTGCCACAAAAGCCATTGAGGTGCTCCCAAGGACGCCAAGACTTTGTGGGACCTTGGCCCTCACAGCCCACTCCCCCTTCACCTTTGTTCTCACCTTTTTTTGGGGGGGTAGGTATTAGGAATTGAACTGAGGACCTTACACTTGCCGGACAAGCGCTGTGCCACTGAGCTACATCCCCAGCCCTCACTGCCTTCTGAACAGTTTGCGTACCCCTCAAAGGCAAGGCCAGTCTTGGCTGCTCTCTGAGTTTTCCTGAGCTACTGTCTCGTTTTGCAAACAGCCGTTGAGCCCCACCCCACCCCCATGCTACCAGGGCCAAGGGAGACGGGGTTCTCGGCAGACCCTCTTCAAGGCCGTCGGCAGGCTGATGGAGGCTTCTGGGGCTGGACTGGCAGGCCTTGGGCTTACAGTGCCTGGCATAAGGCTGAAGCCTATTGGGAAGCCCCTCCTATCCCCTGGGCAGTGGACCTGGCAGCCCAGGCTCTTTCCCACATTCTCAGCTAGCCTGGCCTCCTTATATAGCTCTGACTGCAGGCTAAGCCCATGCCCTGTGCCCCAAGGGAGCAGACCTCCTGTGGGGACAGAGCCTGGGTTTGATCACTGCGACCTTGGAGAAACACTTCCCCCAGATGCAAAAGGGATATGCTTCCCTTTGGGCCCCCTTCGTACCCCAGGGCCAAAAGTGTGAGCAGTATGGCCGTGCGCAGAGGTGAGGCTTCTAGTCATAGCTGTGCTGGGGAAAGGGGGAAAGCCTATTTGCAGCCATAGGCTCACTCCAGTATAAAAAGCCAGCCTTGAGGACGGCAAGACTGAGCCGGGACACTGCCCCAAGGCCCTGTGTAAATAGCCAAGCAGCTGGACCCCTCAGGGCTGGTGTGTCACTGAGCCATCCTCCCTGACCCAGGACTTGGCACTTGGCCACACTTCTATGACTCACCTTGACCCACATGTGTCCACAGACTCAGCAGCTGGCCATCCCAGAGCCGCCAGGGAATGCGTGTCAGCTGCATTCAGAAGCCTAATATTTGTTCAGTTTATTACCATTTGTTATAAAAGCAGCACTTTGACTTTATTAAAGGCAAACAGAAAAAGCCACTGGGAACACCACACAGGGCCTTGGGCAGCTGCCTAGCAGGCCTGCTGTGGCTGAATCAGCAGATGACGGTGGCATCCTGCCCTCTCAGGCCACCTGCGCACACCCACCACTGCAGCAGCTCTGTGTACCTGGCTCCTGTCCCTTGCTGTCCTGCCAGCAAGCCCCTAGCATCACACTTAGGCCACAGGATATGTGTCTCTGTGCCTCGGTGTATATTGTCAAGTTGCAGACCTGGTTTGGGGCCCTGCTGGAGTCGAACCTAGAACTGTGGCAAGGTTAGTGGGGCCTAAACAGCAGTCTTGGACCCAGAAGAGAAGAAGAAATCCTGGTCCACACCTCTCCGTTCTGCCTGGGTCCCCTCAGACACCTATATGGCCTCTTGACTCTTTCACTCTGCGTGATCCCACGATGCTACCAAGGTCCCCTCAGCAGGCCACATGGAATGGCCTTCTAGCCCTAGTCATCCCTGCCACCCTGTCCCCACCCTCCAACCAAGCGCCATAGGGCTGGGGCACACAAAAGAAGACTGGTATGGGGGTGGGAGTCACGGGGCCTGGGAAACCTGGACCTTTTGAAAGGGGCTGCAATACCTAACTCCAGCTGAATCTGCTTTCCTTTGTCCCAACCAAAGTCCACTGGACATTGGTCATGGCCTGCTTATCTGAGGCCCCTGAGGTTTTGGCTTGCAGATCTCCATTTCCCAGAACCTGCCCCCACAGGGGTGGAGCAACATACAGGTTATTAATTTGCTTCGCGTTTATTCTCAGGTTCAGAGGTGGCCTGGCAGACTCTGGAACCAGAATGAAGATCTCAGACCATGTCCACACCTGTAGCAGCATCCTGGTCTTGACCTCACTGCTGCTGACTGTCCTCCAGACTGCCACTGCTCAAAAGGTATCAGGTACCCACGGTGCCTGTGTGTGTGCCCGACTGGATGCCGTGTGAGCTGAGAGGTGGGGAGAGCCTCCTGAGTGTGCAGGCATTTAAGTAGGAGTGTGTGTGACTCCATGTGCGTACAGAAAAAGGGCGCTGTCCACCACCAGGCACTAACTGAGGACCTTGTGGGAGTTCTTGTAATAGAAGGGGGATCCTATTATTTCCATTTTGCACACAAGAAAGTACAGCTTAGCCAGCTGCCCCTTGAAGTTGGCAGTGGAGCAGGGTGGGTAGTGATGTAACTATGAGCTGGCTCTTCCACTCCCAGCTGAGTGACTCTCATGCTTTCTATGTCTCAGTTTCCTCATCTATAAAACCAGGAAATCATAGAAGCTATACAGAGGACTGTTGGGAAAATCAGCCTCATAATACTTATAAAATGCCCAGCACAGCTAGGCACGGTGATACATCCCTAGGACTCCAGTAAGGCAGGAGGATTGCAAGTTCAATACCAGCCTGGGCAACTTAGAGACACCCGGTCTCAAACTTAAAAACCAATAAAACGAAAGCCTGTGTTGCCCAGCAATAAAGTACCTCTGGGTTCAATCTCCAGCAGAAAAATAAAAAGTGCTTAGTACAGTGGCTGGCACAAAGCTAACACCTGAGTGCATAAACAAACCACTTGGGCCCTCTGTGCTGAGCCGCGTGTGCTTGTGCAACCATGTCCAGCAGAGCATGGTTGGTGTGCACGTAAGTGTGGTGCCCACAGGTGGATAAGAGGCGTGTAAGGCTGGGCATGTGTGCCCTTGTGTCCTTTTTTGGGGCACCTCAGGTGTTGGGACAAAGATCATGTATATATCGGGAGGGTGTTCTGTAGAGAGGTGGGATGAACAGAGGGTCCACAGCTGGGAAAATAGAGACCGGGAAGGAGGTTCCCAGCGCTTACACACTGGACCCTTTTCTACCTCCACACTCACCACTGGTTGGAGACCAGCAGGAGCTGTTTCTCCTAGTTTTCATGGAGTCACCGGAAATAAAAGGGCTGCCTCGCTGCCCTTTGCTGGACAAAGCTCAGCTGGACACGCAGCTCCTGGCCCCACCAGGGCCCTCGCCTCTACACAAAGGAGAAGCACAATCCCCTCCTAAGCCCTGAGGTTCAACAAACCCCCTAGGTGCTTTCTGTTCCCATGGGGCACTATAGCCCCCCAAAGAAGACAAATGTGGCCCCTGCCCCTGATGCTTAGGGTGGGGAATGAACACACCCTGTGTCTTATTTCATT